ATATATATATATATATATATATATATATATATACTCAAAAGAAAACATGTTTATCGCGAAAAAGAGGGTATCACAGCATTCAGTCGTTACTATGGAAACATAGTTAGACTCAATTTTCCGCCATCTACATACAAAGTAAAAATCACTAACTGCTGGAAAAAGATTATAGATAATACTCACAGACCTGATTTGATCGCAAAATATTGGCACATTGTATTTTCAGTTATTTTCTGCCCCATTACTTTGGTTGCAATGATAGCTTGTTTCCTTTAAGCCTAATGACGTTTGTATTACCAGTCCCGAGGAGAAACATAAGAAGAGGACATAAAGATGTGTCCATCTTCATTTTGGAACAAATAAAGTTAATAGTAATGTACAGGTGGTAGGGTTTTAACTACCTATGCCGATGTTTGTGTGGACAGTCAGACTGCTGAACGTGTTATCACCTTATCGTTGGAGATATTTGTTGAAGCAAAGCTGGATCACGTGCTACGTTCATGTTTTTTAAAGGATATTTTTTCTCGACTCGTGCTGCCAACTGCTGGAGCTGGTACCTGGTTATCTCTAGATGCTGGCGGATGTATTCCGTGTCTGGACTTTTTAAATGAGCCTGCTGGAAACAAGCCTCGGCCTCAACCAGTTGCTGACGCCGGTAGTACACTACACAAAGATTATGCAAACCCTGAATATTGGCAGGGTCTGATTGGAGAATTTTCTTGTAGCACTAAGAGTATATAAAAGGAGTGAAGAAAAAGATTCATTAAGATACAATGATTGATAAAATATTTATATCACTAGAATCCAAACTCAACAGTATAACACATATTTATAAAAGGAACATAAAAGAGCCGTTTGGTCTTCCAAATGTTATTTATTATCATCAGTTACTAAAACACTGTTTTAACGTGTGAAATTTTGAAATTCCCTCAGGAAAAAGAATTAATAATGAAAGATGCATGATAAAGTTTTTATTTTGATTGTTTGTTTGTAATTAAGCACAAAGCTACTCAATGGGCTATCTGTGCTCTGCCCACCACGGGTATCGAAACCCGGATTCTAGCGTTGTAAGTCCGCAGACATACCGCTGTGCCACTGGAGGACTAGAGTTTTTACCCTGATTAAGAACTGCGCTCCTATTGTGCCTAAATACGAACTGAGTCAATTTTTTTTGGTACATTTTTATCTCAGATTTCTTTTATCGAAATATGAAAAGAATGTATTTCAATTAAAAAAATACACCAAAGAAAAATACCGAAATCTGAATAACTTAAAAACATTTTATCTGTAGGAGTTATTTTGGATTTTTACACTTCTGCTTTCAAGAAACTCTTGTGATTATATTAATTTACAATCATATCATTTTGGAAACTTTTGTTTGATTTTTTGTTGTAAAGAACAAAGCTACACAATGGGCTGTTTGTGCTCTGTTAGCCGCAATACCGAAACCCGTTTTTTTTTTTTGCATTATAAGCCCACTGTCTCACCGCTGAGTGCTTTTCTGTTTTTGTTGTATATATGTGTATGAGTGGTATATATAGTTTATAAGCTATATACTACACTCATGTGTCAATAGCGATCACTTATATGTAAATATAAGTATAAAAGCATGAAAAGTTAAATATATATATATAACTGAAACACCTAAAAAGCAAAATACATGAAATAAATTTTAAAGTCTGCTTCACTTATCATACCAAGGTTTCCAGTGTACTTACCATATGAATAGTTGAAAAACTTTGAATTAAAAAAAATTAAATTATACCTCTTCGGCTGCTCCAAGATCTTCAAAGTGTCCAGCGTAAATGTCTCCCATTAAAATTAATCCTTTCACATGGTCTGGTTGGATCTATTGAATGAAACAGAGTTTAGAATTGTGTTTTTCTAACAAGATACAGTATAAAATATGTTCGTAGGAAAGGAACAAACAAAAAATAAAAACAAATACTTGGTAATATAAGCTAATAATGCCGATTGCGTTGGTGATAAAAACAGATGCGTAGCTGACTTTAAAATAATACTACAAATTATTTTTTCTTTATAAAGATATTTGGTACAAAATGTTTTACACGATATAGCTACAATGGAAACAGCTCGAAATTTTATTAACTATCTCTGTCTGATTGATTTTTGAATTTATTTGCACCTAAATATTCCAATATCTGAATTTCTCACTGAACTTATTAGTACACGTTTTATGAAAAAAAATACATAAGTGTATTATTTTTGCTAATTACTTTGAGCTTTAGCTTTGGCAGAAGACTTCTATAATTGATTAAATTATTGTTCAAGTAAATAATCAAGTCAAATATTTGTACTTTTGAATTGTTCAGATATAGTTCATCTGTAGGTAAGTATTGATTTTCTTCATACATAAACTCTAGAAATCCAGTATTTCACTTATATTTAGGGTTTCTAATTTCCTGCTTTAACCGATAAACACCAATAAAACACCCGAGATACAAGAAAAAAATAATTAATCAGTTTACTTTACGTTAAGTTCCTACTTTGACACGTCATTGTGCTCGAGATAGTTAACCCTTTCCATACGGACTAAATTGTTTTGGAATATTACTCTCAAGGAAAATGAACACGTTTCGTCCGTTAGTAGTAAGCTTGTTTTCATAATTTCATATAAAATTGTAGCTGCTATTACAAATACAAAACTTTAACATAAATAGAATTACGTTTTCTACCTGTTATTACTCCCATAAGAGAAATTAGTGTGCAAATAATATACGGTATATTAGTATACTCATTACAGTACCAAAAACGAAAACTCCAAAAAACACCGATGTTAAAATATGTAAGTAAAACTATAAACCAGCTAAACTTAAATATCGATGTTTAAAACAATAAACACCGATGTTAAGATATATAAGTAAAACTATAAACCTGCTAAACTTAAATATCGTCGGTGTTTATTGTTTTAAACATAGAACAGGAGCCCTACTTACATTCGTATTAAAAAAAAAAAGCAATGACAAAGAATACATTGTTCAGCTGGTTATATATTGTTCAAATTTATGCTCTTTATTTGAAGTTAAGTTAGAAATTATGGAAAGAAATAAAATTAGTATATTGTAACGGCTTTCACAGAACATTAGTCCAAAATGGGTCAGCGTTTAAGTCTACGGGCTCATCAGCCTAATATATGGGGCTCGATTCCATGCGGTGAACAGACCGCAGTTCACCCTTTGTGTGACTTTGCGTTAAAACGACAAATACATGCCTTTTAAAAAACATGAAAATATAAAATATTACTCAATATTCCAAGGGAGTATATAATGTACAGAAATTATTTCTGTTTAACAAACTCTTCTTTATCAACGTTTGAGTTTTAAACTATAGGTTGTAATTGAACGTGATTACATTACGCTAAACTTAAACTTTTCAATTGCAAAAAAAAAAAAAAAAAACACACACAACCAAGGTTTCTATACTTTATGGCTTTCTATTTCTTTTGGCAATAGTTACAGAAGAATACAACGACTCATAGTTTAAGTATTTTAAGCACCTGTAGAAGCCTTTTAATGTAGACAAATGCTTCTAACGGCCTGCCGTCTTCTGAAAGAAGAAGTGCCAAATTGAACAGAGCACTTCGGAGGTTTGGGCGTACCTAGAAAAAGAAAACTCACAAATGTTATGGATGTCTCTTTTCACTTGTTGTTTATAACGTTAATTAATACGTGTGAGAATAATATACTTAAAGTAACACATATCTCTCAATAAGAAGTTATTTAAAGCAGCGTTTCTCGTTGAAATGGTCTTATGCTAATCATCTCTTTGACTTCGTATCGGAAAAGAAGAAACAAAAGACACAAATTTCAAAACATTATCTTGTTATTCTCCTGCTAATAGTGATTATTATTTTAATCTCAAATTGTTTCCCCAGTAGTAACTTTAAATACAAATTAGGTTATCAAAAGTTCTGATCTCTACGTTTCTATTTTCTATCTTGAATGTTTTAAATAAAAGCAATAACAATACAATTTCAATTTGAGCAAAGGCGTTTTATTTACTGTTGCATACTTATTTGTCTAATTTTGTGTATTTATGGTAAAATGACATTTAGTTCTTCCTAAATGAAAAACAAAGTTAATAACATATTGTTAAAAGGCTTAGCTTAAGAATAGAAAGATGTTTACAGCTTACTCTATGCACTACGTTTTAATGGTCTAACATTATGACATTTGGAGGTATATTTTTAACCTGATGCTTTATGTGTGAATGGTGCAAGTACAATAACTAAACAATACCAAAATGTGCCGGTAAATAACGACACTATGAAAAGTAAGAACCAACATCCCCTTTCTTTCAAGACAAACGATATAGAATGCGTATTAATTACACACTTTCCTCGTTCTGGATGTTCTCAATATTCACTTTACCTGTAGAGCTTTGTTCAACCATTGTTCGGCACCATGAATATCCTTGTTCTCTAGAGCTAACATGCCCAAGTTGAAGTAAATCAATTCATTCTGTTTACCTCCATCCACTATTTTCTGGAGTCTGTTGGGAGGCAAGAGAAAGAGAATTTATCATCTATATAATACCAAATATAATCAGCTTGATTTCTTCTTCAAAACGTCAAGGAATATTGCTTGGAACGTTATTTTACCTGAACGAACTAACAATGTATACTGGAAAGTTTGAATAATATTATGAACTGTATTCATTAGTTACTGTTTAGTTGTTATTTTCAATATCATGTGGGCGAATATCAAGTATTGAGAGAGGTGCGCCATCTGTTTTCTCTTTTTTGCATTTAAAAATTTATTTATTTTTATTTTACAAAAACTACAAATACCTTACGGTATAAAATATAAATTTAACTAAGATCAATAAAATCCCTCCTAATTGTAAACACTAATGAATAAACTTAGATTGAGAAAACGCATCGTTCATTTTTCTGTCTTCCTGTCTGTCTGTACCTCTACAGATTTACCAAACTTCACGTCTATTTATATTTATCCGTGATGTTTTCTTGTCCTTATAGCTTTCTGTCTTGTAATTAAACTTAAACGGCATTTAATTTGAACTTTTATTATAATACAAAAGTTTACAAATACACGCACGCATCAGATTTTTTTACTATCACATTAAATAATTATTCTGTAATAGTTTCTACTCTAGACCACCAGTTTTGTGGCTTTGCTGCTAGCAACCGGTAGTTCGAACAAAGACCTGAAAGAATAATTAAACAGCATTTGTTTCTTTTTTCAAATATCATTTAATTGTTCCTTTATGTCTTCTCCAGACATGCCAATAGTTATCCATCTGAATATATAATTATCTACGTCTTTGTTATTCTGTCAATATGTATGCTTACTTTACTGCCTACTCGTGTTAAAGACTATTTACCTATGTATTTGTAATCGATATTTTTGTCCCTTTATTTCTACACCTCTTTGTCTATCAATATGTTGTTATTTACAAGTATCTTCGTATCCTTTGTTTGTTTTATTTTACCTGTTGCGTATCCCTGTTGGCGTCACAAGAATATGTAATATTCTTTCCTGGGTGAGGTCGGTAACCTCCGAGAGAGTGAACCTATCTACTCATCTCTTCCTCTGTTATCTAAGAGTCGGTTTTTTTTCGGTTTTAGGGGGCCATGAGCGTTAGATGGTTATGTGTTATAAAAGTGATTTCACTCCGACCATGTCTCTGAGGACTTTATTCTTGATTTTGTCTCTTCGCGTTTTGATTACTGTTTTGTGTAGAATCCCATTTCTCATGCAGTGATATTTTGTTCTCTTCTTTTATTCGTGGTCTACGTTTGGCACTGGCGACGAAGGGTTGGAATGAAGATTGCAGTTATGAGATTACGTCTACCTTCTACTGGATGTGTGAAGAGTGGGGTCAACTGGTAGCTAATATTGTTTGCTTTTTTGGCATCGTGTTTTTTGTATCCTAAACAATATTTCATTTGTTTGTTTGTTTTGAATTTCGCGCAAAGCTACACGAGAGCTATCTGCGCTAGCCGTCCCTAATTTAGCAGTGTAAGACTAGAGAGAAGGCAGCTAGTCATCACCACCCACCGCCAACTTTTGGGCTAATCTTTTACCAACGAATAGTGGGATTGACCGTCACATTATACCCCCCCCCACCCATGGCCGAAAGGGCGAGCATGTTTGGTGGGACGGGGATTCGAACCAGTGACCCTCAGATTGCAAGTCGAGCGCCCTAACCACCTGGCCATGCCGGGCCATCTCAAGAGTATACTGAAGTGTGAAAGTCATGCCGATATTTCATTAGTCAAACAATTTTAGTACGTACATCCTACACGAAGCACAAGTTTATCCCCTTGTCAGTATACATGATTTATATCAAATTTTGTGGTGTGTGCTATCATAAGTACGGTTCATGCTCTTAGTGTACATTTTTATAATTGCTGTATCTGTTTTCTATCGCATTATTTAGTGAGTATTGTCATAGAACACCATAACCGTTTTATATCCAGAGCTTAGAGGTTTGATTCAATAAATTATAAATCTTACCAGAATATATGGAATACATTGCAAGCAATTCAGATTTTATATTTAGATTTGAATGTTTACTCTTTGGAACAAATCGAACTAATGCTTACATGATCATAAAACTATTTGATCTAATCACGAAAAATTGAACTCTATCATTCACTTTATTTAAGCTTTTCAGTTATGTGTTATGTCATATAATAACAAAACGCACAAAAACTATGAAACTCTATATATCGATACACAAACATGTTTTGCTGTTTTAGTATGCATAAGCTGTAAAAATGTGTGTTAGAAAAGGCACAAGTTGTGTTCTAGGGCCTGATATGACTTGGTGTAAAGCACAATGATACACAATGGGCTATCTATGCTGTGTCTTCAGAGTTAGGAAGCTCGACTCGTAATCTGCGAGGCGTGGATTCGAATTTCGTATCAAACATGTTCACCTTTTCAGCCGTGTAGGTGTTATGATGAAATGGCCAATCCCAATTTTCGTTGGTAAAGAATATCCCAAAAGTTGGCGGCGTGTTGTATTGACTAGCTGCCTTCCTCCTAGTCTAACACCCTTGAATTAGGGCGGGTTAGCACAGATAGTTGTCGAGTAGCTTTGCGTAAAATTAAACAAAACAAAACTCATGTTGACACAACTCTTGTGTTTGAAAGGCTGCAACACTAGTTCAAGTTAAAAACAACATAACCATTGTGCTAGATTTCATCAATCTACATTCACAAATTAAAAATGTTACTTTCCTTCGCAACGATGTACGTATTTAAATAAAACATTTTGAATTGAAAAACCGTACGTCATTTGTGTTGTTATAAAACGCACAAAACTTATGGGTTTATATCGTTACAAAAATCAACCGTGATATAGTTCACACAATCTTGTGTTTGTGAAAGACAACTTGTGTTGTTATAAAACGCACAAAACTTATGGGTTTATATCGTTACAACAATCAACCGTGATATAGTTCACACAAGCTTGTGTTTGTGAAAGACAACTTGTGTTGTTATAAAACGCACAAAATTTATGGGTTTATATCGTTACAACAATCAACTGTGATATAGTTCACACAAGCTTGTGTTTGTGAAAGACAACTTGTGTTGTTATAAAACGCACAAAACTTATGGGTTTATATCGTTACAACAATCAACTGTGATATAATTCACACAAGCTTGTGTTTGTGAAAGACAACTTGTGTTGTTGTGAAACGCACAAAACTTATGGGTTTATATCGTTACAAAAATCAACTGTGATATAGTTCACACAAGCTTGTGTTTGTGAAAGACAACTTGTGTTGTTGTGAAACGCACAAAACTTATGGGTTTATATCGTTACAAACATCAACTGTGATATAATTCACACAAGCTTGTGTTTGTGAAAGACAACTTGTGTTGTTGTGAAATAACACAGTGTGTTGATTTAAAATAACGTTGTTGTTTTTTACAGTGTAATATAACACACATTAAACACTTTGGAAATTAGACAAACTCTCAACGTTTTCCGTGATATTTGAAATAATCTTAATTTTGTAATTATGATTGTGATCTTT